AACCTCAGGCAGGTCATGTGGACCCTGGACACCTCTGTCTGACTGTACAAGACCCTGCCACAAGCCATCCTACACCCCCTTCAGCAATGAACAGGAGTCCCACAGCCCAGATCCTCCAGTGTTTAGCATTCTCAGGTTTTCTGGATTTTCGATGCCTCAGATGGCAGTGGGGTTTGAACTCAGGGCCTCCTGCTTCTCAGGGAGGTGTTCTACCACTTGAGACACTCTTGCATTGGATATTTAGAGTTGGGTCTTGCTTTATGCTCAGGCCAGCCTGAACCATCTCCTGTTTGTCCTTCCCCACGTAGCTGGGATGACAAGTGTATACCACCATGCCTGGCTTGCTGACTGATGTGGGGTCTTGCAAAATTTTTGCCTAGGCTGGCCTCAAACCACCCAGCCTCCCAGGTAGCTGGGATTGCAGGTGCGAGCTACTGCATACTAAAGGGGTACTGATTGCCTTTCTCCAGTGACAGGTGAACTGAGCACCTTATCCTGTGCTTGCCATCTGTACGTCTGTGTGACACAGTTTCAACACTAGTTCTAACCTTGTGCCCTTCTTACCCACTCTTTAAATTAGGTTTTCTTATTGCTGAGTTTCAGGAGCTCTGTAGGTATAGCAGGTATGGATCCCTTGTCAGATGTGGTTTGCAAGTATTTTCTCCCATCTGCGGCTGGTCTTTTTGTTTTCTTGAATGTTTCTGTGGCAGATCAAGTGTTCATTTTCATAAAGTCCATGAACCAGGCCTTGGGTGTCTCATCTACAGGCATACTGCTAACTCCAAGTCACACAGGTTGTCTTCTAAATTTGCTTCTGGAGGTTTTATTCTTTCGTTTTCTGTGCTTTGCCTCTGGTCCCTTTGAGCTCTCTTGTGTAAGGTGTGAGTGCGAGTCGAGCCTCATCTCTGCATGTGCACATAGCATTAATTACAACCAGAGGTTTATCTCGCCCACAGTGTGGGTGGCTGAAAGCTCAAACAGCACAGGGCTCGGGTGAGTGACACAGGAAGCCAGACATAGGGGGAGGGGCTTGTCTTAGGCCCTCCCACTGGGCCTTTCCCTCCCCCCCCATTAAAGGGCTCTTCACTGCCCAACTTGGCCACACAGAGGACCAACCCCCACCACAAGAGAGCCTGTGGAACAAGCCACATGTAAACCGCAGCACCATGTGTCCACTTGTCCCACCATGTTTACTGGGAAACCATTCCTTCTCCTTCCAGTTATCCTTGAGTCTCTGTCAAAACCGATTCACTGTATCTGCGAAAGTCTGCTTTTGGACAACTCATGTTCCATTGCCTTATGTGGCCGTCTTTTATCAGTTCCACACAGTCTTTATTACTGTAGCTTTGTGGTACGTTCTGAAGTTGGATAGTGTGAGTGCTCCAACTTTGTTCTTTCCTATTTATTTTGGCCGTTCTGCTTCCTTGGCCTTTCCATAAACATTTTGAAAACAGCTCGTCCATGTCTACAGAAAACCTTGTGGGACATTTTTATTGAGATCATGCTGAATCTGTGTGTCTAACTGGGAGAATTTCGACTTCCAGTCCATGAACATGGAGTATCTCTCCATACATTTTGATCTTCTTTGATTTCCTTCATAAGTGTTCCTAGTTTTCCAGTCAGATCCTGCTTATATTTTGTTAGATTTATGTCTTTGCCTTTTTGGGTTGTTATATATTTTTCAAATTTTCATTATAATTGCTTATTGCTGGTATATAGGAATACAGTTGACTTTGGTATATTGATACAAAAATAACTGGGACCTCAATAATACCCTTATTGGTTCCCAGGGCTGGCATTTTTAATTTTTTTTTATAGATTCTTTGGGATTTCCTACATAGGAAAACTGAAAGTTTTTTAAGTCATAAACTAGTATTAAAGTTTGTCGTCTACTTTTTTTTCTGTTATAGTATGGTTTTGCCTGTTTAGCCTTCTGTTAATGTGGTGTTTTGCTGAACCAGCCTTGCATTTCTGAACTGCAGTTGGTTCTGATGAGTTTCCTTATTTCTTTTTTCTTTGGCAGTTTATCTATTCCATCCAAGCTGTCAAATTTTGGTCCAAGGAAGGCGTAGTATTTTCCATGTCTGTGGGACAGAGTAATGTCCCTCTTCCCTGCTGGAAGGAGTCTGTTTGTCACCCCCTCCCTCTCCCGTGCTCTTGCTCTTGGCCAGTCAAGCCGAGCCCTGTCGTTATACAGATCTTTCCAGAGAGCCAGGTTTTAGTTACCTTGCCTTTTCTGTTTTTATTTTTTTTTTTCCTGCTCTCAATTTCATCAGTTTCTACTCATATCCTTTCAGAACTTCTTTCCAGCTGCTTGTTCTGGATGTCTGGCGCTCTTTGCTGGGTTCCTCAGGTACACTTGCAGGGTCGAGGCCTTTTCTAACACAAGCGTCTTACTCTCACATTTCCACTAAGGACTGCTTCCCATCATTCTTAATATGTATGCATTGATTTTTATTCAATTCAAAATATTTTGCATTTTCTCTTGTGCCTCCCTTGTTTAAGTACATGTTCTCCTTAGAAATGTATGCTTTAATTTCCAAATTCTTGGGTATATTTCCAGATAATATTGTCTTTATTATTTAAATGTAGGTGGAGCTGGATGCTGGTGGCTCATGCCTGTAATCCTAGCTTCTTGGGAGGTTGAGATTGGGAGGATCTTAGTTTGAGGCCAGTCTAGGCAAAAACAGTTCATGAGACCCCATCTCAATGGAAAAAAGCTGGGTGTGATAGCACGTACCTGTCATCCTAGCTATAGTGGGGAGCCTAAGGCAGCAGGATTGTGGTTCAGACTGGCCTGGGCAAAAAGTGAGGCCTCCACCTTCAAAATAATCACAGTCAAAAAGATTGGTGGTGTGGCTGAAGTGGTAGAGTGTCTGTCTCACAAGCATAAAGCCCTGAGTTCAAAACCCAGTACCACCACCACAAAAAAAAAAAAAAAAAGTAGGTGCTCAGGGAACATGTTTTGTGGATTCAGCTCCTTTCTGTTGATATTTGTTTCTGTTGACATTTGCTCACAGCCTGGTGTGTCCTGGTGAGTGCTCCACATGTACTTGAAAGTCATATGTGCTCTGCTCCTGGCTGGAGTGCTCCGTAGACATCCTGTGACAGTGTGCAGATGCCACGTCGGTCCCATTGGTGGTTAGTCTTACCCAGCTCTCCTGCAGCTTCCTCACTTTCCACCTCCTTGACTCATCAGATTCAGGGAGGGCCTTGGAGCTTCCCATGACAGAGGCAGAGACACCATATTGTCTCTCCTCAGCTATACCTCCACCCACGTGGTGAGGAGCTGTCCGGTTCCTGCTCACTTGACATTACTGTGTTCTCTTTTCTTTTTGGCAGTACTGGGGACCTTGTGCTTGCTGAGCAGGTGCTCTGCCACTTGCGCCACCTTGCCAGCTGTTTATGCTTTGGTTATTTTTGAGATAGGGTTTTGTGTTTGTGCTGGGGCCAGCCTGGACTGCAGTCCTCCTGTTTGTGCTTTCCGGTGTAGCTGGGACGACAGGTGTGGCACCACCATAGCCAGCCATTGGTTCAGATAGAGTCTCGTGAACTTTTTATCTGGCCTACCCTCAAATTACAGTCCTCCTGCTCTCCACCTTCCTGAGTAGCTGGGATTACAGACGTGAACCACCATACCAGGCATTTACCATGTCCTCTTGTTCCACTATCATCATGCATTAACCTGCTTCACCCCTCCCGTGCTCCATTTTTAAGGCTACTGCACGTGGAATTAATATAGCTGTGAGCTTTCTTCTCATTTGCACGTGTGCCTTTTTGACTTTCATCCTGTGTTGTTGTATGTAAAGTGAATTTTATGTAGATGATATAGACGGGCCTTGCTTTTGGTGTGCATAGAACACTCCCATGTAACGTGATCGAATAAAATCCACCATTTTGCCAGTTATTTTCTGTTTTCTGTTTTTTCCTTCTTCTCTGTTTCTTTCCTTCTTTCCTGCCTTCTCATGGGTTAATTGAACAGTGTTAGGACTTGACTATATCTTCTGTATTTGGAGCTGTTTAAAATTTTTTATTACTTTCCCCCAGGACTCAACTCATTGCTGTTGTAAGTCAGCTTGGCTCTACCTCCGTGTAAATGTCGCTCCCCTTTGTATGCCGCGTGAGGTCGTTTTAGTCTTCATTTCCACCCCCACCCCACCATTTGTGCTGGCTTCTCACACGTGTTACATCGCACACTCCATGAGTATGCAGTCCAGTGTTGCTCCTGGGGCTGTGGACTGGGGTCTTCGTGCTTCCCAACAGCCAACCCTGACCACGTTGGCGTGCTGTAGAGCAGAGGTCTGCCTTGGCCTCAGCCCTGCCTGCCGTGGATCACAGGGTGCTGATTTGCTTTTTTGCAAAGTTCAGGTTATAGCACAGTATCACATCGTCCTGTGGCTTGTGTGTTCCTAGCCAGCAATGCCTCAGTGAAGTCCCCAGAGGCCGTGGGGACCCTGTGCAAGTGCCACCTGTGCTGATGGAGTTTGGCTGTCTCTCCTTGACTATGCAGTCACATCCGTGGAAGGTGATGGCCTGAGGAGGTGGCAGTGCCCTTCTAGAGGGGTGTTGGGTTGAGTTAGGGTGGCTGTGACTACTGTGTGAGCAGTGGGGCTAGCTGCAGGCCCCATCGAGCAGCACTGCTGATGGGAGCCAGGGGTCACCAGGATAGTGGTGATGGTGAATGCTGAGTTTCATCGGGTAGCTGCTCACCACAACGAGGCACAGTCTCATACTGACGTTGGCTTGCTTATGCAGCAGGTGTAAGCCAGCAAGACACATGTGTATACACGTGCCACATGTCTGCTCCAAGCTGGGCTCTGCAAGATGCCCCAGGAGCTTGAGAACATGCTCCCGCTTCTGATTGTGTGGTTCAGATGTCAGACCATCAGCCATGCTGCCTCTCCTCTCCTCTCCTCCCCCAGCCCAGCCCCACATGTCTGAAAGGCATCCACACTGCCACAGGCTCTTGTACTCATTTCCTGTGCTGTCTCTTCCTCTAGGTGTGGCTTTCCTGGTGGCTTTCCAGCAAAACAAGGCCCTGATTGGTGACCAGGGCCTGCTGCCCTGCAAGCTGTACCTGAAGAGTGTCCAGCAGTACTTCCATGGCCAGGTCGGCTGGGACGCCTGGAGCTATGCCCCCACCATTCTCTGGCTGCTGGACTGGTCGAACATGAACTTCAACCTGGACCTGCTTGCACTCCTGGGGTTGGGCATCTCGTCCTTCATCCTGGTCACTGGCTGTGCCAACATGATACTCATGGCTGTTCTCTGGGTCCTCTACATGTCCCTGGTCAACGTGGGGCAAGTCTGGTAAGTAGACCTGGGTGGTTACTCTCTGCTGTGTGGGTGCTGGACTCTGCAGAGCACAGCACAGGCGCTATGGCCAGCAAGAGACATTGCGTGCCTTCTTCCTCAGCAACTTCAGAGGGGTGGCACAGGTATGCAGGCTGTGATAGAGGCAGCTGCTGCCACTCAACGAACTATAGGGGATAAAACATGACTGCTGGGAGAGCTGTGTCCCTTGAGACCACACTGCCAGCCTGCTTGAGCATGGAGACGGAAGCAGAAGCCACCAGGGAGCTACTATGGAGCCCTGAGCAGGGGGGGCTTGGCTTTGAGGTCCTTTCTTCCTCCTACCCAAGAGGAGCCATCCCAGTCAGTACTCAGTACAGCGTTGGGGTTGCAGGTCAGACTTGGCCCTGATGGTGGGTTCTAGGGTCAGAGGGGTGATGGAGCTCCTGAGGGTCATTAAAAAAAAAAAAAGTTGTCTGAGGCCACTGATGGGTGTGTGGTGTGTCAACCTGCGGACATGGGGGCTGGTGTCTGTGGATGTGTGGAGAGAGTAGATGCAAGGTTGCTGTCTGTGTGGTCATGTGGGGAGTGGACATAGGGATCTGTGTAGAGATACCAGGTATGAAGGCTCTTAGGGCTCCTTGCCTTGTTCTGTCCTTGTTCTGTCCCCCTTTCCGCTGGGGCATTAGTCCAGCCAGGGTGGTCTGACTGTCTGCACAGCTGGCCTTGGGTGCAGAGGCTCCCCTAAAGGCTCCTGGACATGATACTGACTTTTCTGAAGTTTGGGCTTTGACCAGGTAGTGGCAGCATGGCCGATGGGTCTGACCTTCACTGGGTCTTGATGGCCTCCAGGGGCTGTGGAGCTATCTGGGGTCTGGGCCAGGGTCCAAGCTGACCCTGTTAGTATGGGCCTTTCTGTCCTCTGCATCTTGCATCTGTGCTCAAGGGCTTTTTGGGTAGTGAGATGCAGGCTTCCTCATTGGGGTAATGCTAGCTTGTGTCAGGCCTGGGGTGGCCTGTGGAGATGGTGTTTGGGATGTGAGCTGCTTCGTGATGTACCTTGACTTTGCCAAGGTGTGGGGTGAGGGCAGCAGTGTCTAGATGGGGCCAAAGCAGGTGTTTCCTCTTGGCTAGCCTAAAAAGGAGGGTGCATACCACAGTGTGTCTGGTCAGTTGCTGGCCAGTTGCTTGGGTGGTGGGGTCCACTCTGTGGTCAGACACTCATGGTCAGTATCCCTTCCTGGAGGGGTGTGGTATGTCTGTTTGCTTTGCAGGGTGAGGCTGGCGACGACTCTCCTGATAAACACATATTCCATTGCTGCCTGGCTACCCCAATTTTACTTTTACTAAACTCTGTCTTTCAGCACAGTCTAGATCTACAGAATTGCAGTGAAACAGACAGGGTTTCCCTATTAGTGTGCATTTGTGTGCTTTTCACTAACTGACACGCATACTTCCTAAGTTTCCTCTAACATCCTTTCCCTGACCCAGGACCCCAGGTAACATTTAGTCACATGTCTCCTCAGGCTCTGTTTCTCAGACTCTCCTTGGTTTTGAAGCCTTGGCAGTTTGGGGTGCTGCTTGGGGTCTGTGAGGTGCCCTCCATTGGAGCTGGTCTATCTCGTATTTAGAAGGGAGTGGCTCTGGGAGGACCCAGAGGTGAAGCACTGCCTGTCTCACTGCCATGACACATACTACAAACCTGCCTTGTCTCTGTGAAGTTGTCCCCCGATCCTCTTGGGTGACTCCTCCACTTTCCCCATGTGCTGTGGGTGACTCCTCCCCTTTCCCCATGTGCTGTGGGGTGACTCCTCCCTTTTCCTCCATGTGCTGTGGGTGACTCCTCCCCTTCCCCATGTGCTGTGGGTGACTCCTCCCCTTTCCCCATGTGCTGTGGGTGACTCCTCCCCTTCCCCCATGTACTGTGGGGTGACTCCTCCCTTAACTCTGTGTGCTGTGGGGGACTCCTCCTCTTTCCCCATGTGCTGTGGGGTGAGTTCTGTTTTTTCCTCAGTGTACTGTGGGGTGATTTCTCCCTTTTCCTCCATGTGCTGTGGGTGACTCCTCCCCTTCCCCCGTGTGCTGTGGGTGACTCGTCCCGTTCTGTGTGCTCAGCACAGCCCGAGCATAGTGGTGCTGACCCCTGCAGGACAGCAATCCACACATTTTGAGGAATTTTCACTTAGGGATTTGTGTCCGGTCCTGGTCACTTGATCGTGAGTTATATCGGGGTGGACCTGTGCATATCTACTTTGGCACTTTGGGTGTCTGCTCCAGGAACTTAAACATTTACAGTTAGCAACATTTAAGACAGCCAGTGCTTTGTAACTGCTGCTGAATGAGGTTTTAGTGATTCTTAAAGGGAAACTCAGCATGGACTAGAACCTGCCTTTCTGAAGCAGTGCTCTCACAGAGTGCAGGGATCCAGCTGTACCCTCTGCTCTGGTGTCTTCATTGACATTGACTTTGCCAAGAAGCTGGTTTGTGGCTTCTATCCCCACTTTACTTTGGCACTGACCCCAAAGGGTTTCTATGTCACCATTCAGGATGAGACCCAGCCGTCCTTTCCTCCTCCACATCCTGACTCCCTAGAAGAGGAAAAGATTATCTCTTGAAACTTGGGCCAAGCCGGTGTCTCGGGGTCCTCCTTCCGCCTTGGTGCTTTCTTCCCACAAGGGATGGTGGATCCTCTTCAAAGAGCATACGAGCAGAGGTGTGGTGTCCTTTGCAGTGACATTAACAGCCTTTTCCTGCTCTGAACCACCTGGAGGAGTTGGGACCTCTCTAGGCTGAGTTGTCTACCACCCGCCTGAGTCACTCCTGCCTGTGAGACAACTCACATGGAATGGGGCTCAGCTTCAGGACAGCACAGGGACCCATTGGGAGCCCAGTCTCCAGAGCCTTGGTCACAGCGTGGCCACACTCAACACCATCCCAAGGCCCTGCCTTGCATGGTGCTCCTTGTTAGGACACCAGTTTTGTCAAGCAAAATAACTTTATACTGTCCTCTGTATATTTTGCTTAAGTGTTAATCATTATCCCAGTCATTCATGATATTGAAATAAGTATTTGCACTTTTTCTTACTTAGCATCAGTTGCAAGTGTCGGTTGTGCCACAGCCTACAAGAGGCTTTGTGTTCTGGCTGTTCATGGCGGGAAGTCATCAATACACTTGAGTAGATCAGAGGGCCTGCTGTTCCCTCTCCTCCCTGACGGTCCTGCCCGCCTCACATTGAGGGTTTCAATGCAATCTGAGGCCCTCAGACAGACAGATTTCATTAGGCAACAATTTTTTCTTTAACCTCTTTTTAAGATGTAATTCACATACCATGCTCTTGAACCATTGATAGTGCAAAGGTCAGTGGCACCATGTATTCAGAGCCCTGAAACCCTCACTACTAAGTTGAAAACATTCTTACCACTCCAAAAGAAACCTGCACCCACAGCCATCGCCCTGCCCTCCCCAGGCCCTGGCTACCACTAATGTCCTCCTGTCTATGCCTGGCCTGAACATTTCACATGAGATCGCAGCACCGTAGCCTTTGTGTCCAGTGTGGCGTTTCAGGGACCCTCTCCTTCTCTTGTGGCCCAGCTGGTGCTGGTGTTTGGTGAAGATGGTGAGGGTTCATTCCGGAATCTACCTGTGTGTGGCATTTGTTCTAAGATATCACAGAGAGTGTCTGCTTGTGTGTGTGTGGGGGGGTCCTGTTGGTATCTTTGTTCTGAGGGTGCAAGGTGAGTCCCTGTGTCTGTCACTTGATGGTAATACCCGTTGTCCTGACATGGTTCCAGTGAACACTCAGGCCTTCCTCAAGTTGTTAGTACCCACCAAACTCTTTGAACTTGAGCTCCCTTTTCTAATGATCTGTGTCAAGGAAATAGTTCTTGTTCCTTGTCAGGTTCCAGGGTGTGACATTTTCCATGCTGTATGGGTTGAAAGTATTTTTTCTGCAGGAAATCCAAGTATTACATCTGTTCATTCCTGCTGCATCTTCTTGCTGACTGTGGACCTGGCTCCACATGGGCTCTGCTGGCGGGGGGGGGCTCTGCTTGCTTACTGCCCAGCTCACAGGTCCTCCCAACTGCACCTCCCACACCCACATCCTGGCCTCATGGTTGGGCTTCACTTTGTGGGGGAAATGTGATGGTTTAACTTAAAAGTTTTTAGGCAAAATTATAATACACTTTTCTTCTTTTGTCTTTCAGGTATTCTTTTGGTAAGTGAAAATCATTTAGGAACACTCCACGAGAGTTTATATGTTGGGGTATGTATCTACACATTTTTCCAGCTTTTCCCATTCCTTAAGAGCCTGCCTTAGCTTTCCAGGCATGAGTGGCACTGAAGGTGTTTGTTAACTTACCCTGGTGTCTTAATGACTGGCTATGCTGGGAGGGAGCAGCTAAGGAGGCTGTGAGAACTGTGGGTTTCCAAGGCCAGGTGCTTGGGCATCTGGCAGTTCCCCTGTGTGCTGATGGAGATACCTAGTGTGGAAGACCACCTCCCCTCAGAGTGAGTCCCCACAGCAGGCCCCATGCATTGACTATGCCTGCATGACATCCTGTGGCCCTGTGAGCCCTGCTTATGTGGCTGCAGAGAACAGAATTCACATGGCAGTGATGCTGGTTTGTGTGTCGTTTGGAAGGAAGAATTTTGGGTCCCTCAACCCATGCTGATGAGAGCTGCTGAAGCAAGGCAGAGAGCAACCCCCAGGTAATAGGGTAGACCATGGACAGCTCCCAGATGACAAAACAGGCTGAGGATAGCCCCTAGGTGACAGGGCAAGCCAAGGGCAGCGAGTGTTTTTCAGCGTGAACCTGTGGTAGGTTTGTAGGTCAGCCTGACTCCAGGATCCTCAGCACTTTGGCCCTCCTCCAGGCTGTATACTCTCTGGGGTAGGGGGGGTTGCATTGTCTGGGCCCTACATGGCTTTTGGCCTTGAGCTTGTGTCCCATGCCAGAGGCCACACTCCTCATGCATTCACTCCTTACACACTTAAGAACAACCTGGTGGTGTTAGAGATGTGGACTGACTTACAGCCAGGAGGCTACAGGTCTGCTACCTTGAGGTAAATATGGAGAGGTGCCCAGATCCTCAATTACCCAAGAAGACAGGTAGCTAGCTGCATAAAGCAAAAATGACCCAACTGCCTCGGTAGCATCACCCACGGGTTTCCTAACATTGATTGACACCAGTTCCTGCATGGCCGGCTCAATGTGTTCATGTCTGCTCCTTGTTTTTTGGTTCCAAAACTCCCCCAGAGAATCCTGCATTTTCCAGTACTTAGGTTCTTTTATTTATCTGAAATTGCAGCAGATTTGTTTTCTAGCTTTGAGGATGGAAACCTTGAAGCCCCGACTCCTTTTCTGGGGTGAGGAACCCTGCTCTTTCACATGGGCTTGCCACCAGGACCCAGGTACATGGCTGCCCAGGCATCCCAAACCCTGTGTGGGCTGCTATTGGCATCATTTTGTTGTCTGTCACATATTGTCACTGCTTCTCTGATGGCAGATGCATCTTTGGTGACATAGAAGCAAGCCACTGACCTGATACCTCTCCTTCTGCATGTCTTGAGTAACAGGACTTACATGCTCTCTTTTCCTGTTCTGTGCCCTAGCAGGCCACTTTCACAGCGAGTGGTGCAGACCCAGGACATAGTGACCTCACTGAAACCCTCCCGTCTCTTTGCTGCAGCCTGTCTGTCTTCATCCCCCCTGTCCTGGAGACCTGGAGATAGAGGCCCAGTTAGGGGAGGGCAGTGTGGGGTGGAAGTCAAGTGCTTGAGATCTTGTGGAGGCTTCTGTCCTCCAGCCTCACCTGGGCTGCTCTGGGAACTTGAGTCTTCATAGAGAGTGCCTGGTCTCATCCTGGCTGTGCCTATGTTTCAGTGTTTGGTTTAGCTGTCATGTCTGTTTTGTGAGGTGGCCTTCAATGAATTGAGCAGCAGTGGGGAGCTGAGCAACAATGTCCCCCACGGCCACATCCCTCAAACAGACAGTGGCTTGAAATGCACTGAGCTCCCAGAGCCACACGTCCAGTGCAGCAGCCTCTGGCCACGTGTGTTTTTAAGAAGCCATGTTCCCGCCATCTGTTCCTTGGCCCATGGGGCATGGGGGCTGGTGACCCCATGTAGGGAGGGGAGGCAGGGCTGTTGTGTGCATGAAGTATTAGGAGTGGAGCTCATGTCCCAGGAGACCACACTAGGCTTGGGGAGCCCCCCCAACTTGTATTCCATTGCCCTGAGGTCTGAGGGTGGAGTCTGTTCAGGTTGGAGGCTGGGGCAGTGGAGTGGTGATGGTCCCAGGGAATCTGGGGAAAGAACTCTGGAAGGCCTCATGCCCAGAGGACATCCCTTGTAGGAAAAGCACCTTCCAGTTTTTACTGCAGCTTTACGGTGTAAGAATCAGGCACCTTAGGGCCTGAGGATTCACGTTCCTTCCTTTTAGTAAGAACCTCTATTGATGACTGAGTAGGTTACCCTTGTCTGATAAGGGCAGGGACAGAAGCACTGCTGTGCACATCTTCTCAGACATCTGACCCGATCATACTGTGGTCAGCTGGAAACATAGCAGGGGTTTTGGGAGAGTCGTCCACATAACAGATGCATACAGTAAGCAAAGCAGGTCAGGGGGTGAGCAGCAGGAGCAGTGCCAGGTGAACCACAGGGATGGGGCCAGGTGGTGCCATTGGGCAGCTCTGTGTCTGCAGGGGAGCTTGTGTGGGGACCCAACTCCTGTGCAGTGCGGAGGGCCTGGACTCTGTGACAGGACTTACACACACAGGTTGTATGTTTTTGGGTGATACTAGGGTTTGAACTCGGGGCCTCATGCTTGAGCCACACCCAGTCCCAGATTGTATTTTTATTTCTGTCCTTTGTGGCTGTGTTGGGAGTCTTTCAAGTGGACATGCTCCTTCATAGTTTGGGGGCTCCATTCTCGCTGAGTGGGAAACTTTCCTCCCTGTTAGTCCGCTTTTCTGGCTGTCCTTGGCAGGCACAGGCCGCGTGGGATGCTTACGTGGCTGGGACACTTGAACCCGGGTGTTTCCCTTCATGGCAGCACCTCCCGTCAGCCGTTGTGAATTAAATGCTCCATGTGACCCTTTACCCTGGCTGCTCTTAAATTCATGCTTTAAAAACAGCTTAATGAGGGGTTTACTGGCCCAATTGGAAGTTTTTATTAAGACCCATTAGTGCTGGAGCAGAGCCTGCCTGCAGGAAGCGATTAGCCCAGCCGGCCGGCTCAGCAGGTCCCACAGAACAGCTTCCAGACCTGCGCCTGATGCCGGGCTGGGCATGGCTCTCACATCCTCTGCTGCAGTTTATAGTTCACTCATTCTCTTCCCAGCCCCATATCAGGAAAGCAGTTTCCTTAATTAGATTATCCTCACAACCATAGGCAGCCTCGATGACCAGCCCCGAGCTTGTGCAGCTGCCAGCCTGCCAGGGGTCTGACCCCACATCCCCTTCCTGGGGTTCTCTGTTGATTTAACCCCTTGCTGTGAGCTGGGCAGAAATGTCCTTCTAGAGCCTGGTTCCCCACAGCAGAGTCTCCCCTTGGGTCACTGGGGATAGGTAACCATCTGGAGTCTAGTCACATCCATGAGTGCACGGGCAGCCTGGTCTATAAAATTAGGGCCACTGTGTGGCATGCTGGCCGAGGACTGACTCACCCAGTCACTCCAAAGTAGCTTAACGTCAGTGTATGCTGTACCCAAATGGGGACATACAGTACACATTTCTTTCATTCTCATTCGCTCTCGCTTGCTTCTCTCTCTCTCTCTCTCTCTCTCTCTCTCTCTCTCCCCCCACCCTCTGCTTAGTAATATCTGGTGATAATTACTGAGTTGAACCTAGATGAAAATATATCCTAGTCTGCTTTTCCTTCCTCACCTGATCATAACCCAATTGCTCTGGGTTCCTCCACAGTGCTCAGCTACCCGCATCTGAAACCAGCAGAGTTCTGAAGGGCTTTCCTGCTGTGCTTTATGCTTCCAGTCCATTGGGTGGGCTTTATCTGGAATTCTTCTGACTTGCCTCTTGGTTTTATTGATGCCAGATTGTGGAGAAGTGGGCTGTCTAGCTGCGCTGCTTTTCATCCATGGTGTGAGGCCACAACGTTGGCATTCAGCCTGCGTGCTGCGCCTGGCGTCGAGGAGGGCAGTTCTGTCCCCACCCACTCTCCAGGTCAGCCTTAGCCCAACAGGCAGTTGAGGGATTTGCTCTGAGTACCCTGCATTGGAATCTCTCTGACTTGGAGCTTGTTCCTCTCAAAGCCACACATCTCCTCACTGTCCATCTCCACAGCTGTAGGTGCTGTGTTGCGTCCCCCTCCCCTCCTCATGAGCAGAACAGCCATGGGGTGTCTCCTTTTTGGCTCTTCAGAGACTGACTTTATCAGATTTTTTAATTTTTTTTTTTTTTTCAGTGCTGGGATCAAACCCAGGGACTCACATGTGCTAGTCAAACTCTCTACCACTGAGCTACAGTCCAGCCTGAGAGTGTTCTTTTAATAAAGAAGAATTAGGTGCATGCATGGATTAGCCACATGGTATTGCTGGCTTATACAAAAGCAGCAGGACCTTGTTTTACCTTCTGCTTACCCCAAATCCCGTTCTGCAGATGAACCCCTTTACCTCCACTAACACATGTCCTGGTATTTCCCTCACATTTCTAGATAACGTTCATTTGGGTTAGTCTTGGCATGTCACTTTGAGATGTTGTCCACTTCCTGTGAGGAGTGACAAGGGTCACCCTCAACATGCGCTAGCACACTTCTTTACCATCTTAGCACAGCTGTGTCACAGACAGAATTTTTATGAATTTAATTGTCCTTCCTTCCGTTACTGTGACAATGCAAAGGTTGTTGACTGCTCAGTCAAATGGTGAGTATCATAATTTTTTTGATCTTTTGTTAATAGTTGCCTCTTCTTTTGTGGTTTGCTTAGTTTTTTATTTCTGAGCATGTCTCACCAATTTGTTCCAAATTCTCCAGCCTTCCTGTGGTTTGTTTGTTTGTTTGTTTATTTGTTTGTTTTAACGAATCAGACACATTAGATGCTCCAGTCCTTCTCTCCACGTTATGGAGACTCCAGCTCATAACTCTCTAGCACCAGTATAGCTGGTTCACTGTCATTGCCGCCTCGAATTCCACCAGTTGATTTGTCCTTTTCTGCATCGTACAAATCCTTATGGTGCACAGGGGCTGGTGACCTCATTAT